CAGAAAGCTGCTTGCTGGACTACCCCCTTTGCTTGAATGATTTTTTTGTTTTTTAATACTTTTAAATAAGGGATCCAAAAGCCTCCAAAAGCATCAAATCTCAATGGAAATCTCATTTTTTTGAATAGAAATCTCCATCCAAAAGCCTCCAAAAGAATCAAATCTCAATGGAAATCTCCAAATGTTTAATAGAAATCTCAATCCAAAAGCCTGTAAGATAAGCAAATCCCAGCAAATTCAAAAGGGAAAAAGTAAACTATAACAATAAAAAAAAACACTACAACTACCCCTCCAAAAAAAAAAAGACATTATTCTAGGGGCCTTTATAAATCAGTGCAGGGAAAAAACAAGACATAATTCTAGGGGGGTTTATAAATCTGAGGGCCACATTATTCATATTAAGATCATTATCAATGGATTTGGATCTGAGTTTGGGTGTCACAACAGTTTTGGATTGTACTTAGCTGAAGCAAATGGTTTCGGCAATTCATCCTGTTGACACTTGTGGAAGTACTTCTTTGAGAATCCCACGCCGTGGGAGTACAAAGTGACGTCGATTAAGCCAGCCTAGGCCAAGCGGAAGCGAGAACTGGATAACCAACCAAGGCTCAGACCCCGGACGACCAAGCTCGGCATGTCAACCTAATCGGGACGGTCTCCAACCTAGAAGCAAGGAATGGTCTCCAACCTATTAGCGATGGCCTCCAACCTAATAGCGATGGCTTTCAACCTAATAGCAATGGCCTCCAACCTAATAGCTTTGATTAACTTGGCTGAAATATGTTTGACATGAGAAGAATATTGTCCGTGATTCCCCAACATCAAATTGTGGATTATTCTGTAGTACCTAGTAGTACCTTTCCTGGAGACATTGCAAACGTAAGCAAACCCAACAGACAAAACAAAAACGGGTCAACACAATTATGAAGCCCAAAAAAGAGAGAGACACCTTCAGAAAGCCTATCTGGGGTAGTTGGAACATGTTTGAACACTTGATACTATGATACCAAAGTTTAGAGAAGCATGAAGAAGTCCTGGTTGACACACACACACAATGCCCTGTGAACTGGTGAAAGATACCCAAGCCACCCAGCTTTGGGAGCAGATAGCAGCCTTTGTCTCAGGCCACCTGCCTCAGGGACCAAGCGACAATGGCGCCTGAGAGACGATGGCTGAGTCAGCTGAGATGACGGAGAATGAGCTCACAGGCAACACACGAAGCGACTCAGAAAAGCACAACACCATCAGAAGCACATTAAGGCTGACAAGAAAGGAGCATAAAGGAGCGCAGACTATGCAAAAAACCTCACTTTAACTTTAGAGCGTTACACGCTCTCATGGCAGCCTTGTGAAGGTCTTGAATATGGACGGCAAAGCCGCCAATATCACATCGCTGGCGCATTCCAAGGCCTCAGAAGCCAAACACGTGTTTTCTGGCACAGGAAGGTGGGATCTTGAGCAACGACATGATGGTGGATGACATTTACTTATGTTTATATATATGATTATTTTTAATATATGGATTATATTTTACTTGTTTGGTTTGTTTTCCTCAGTTGGCGAACCCCGGGTTTTTGCCCAAAACGAAAGACTGGCATTGCTACTGTCAACGTAGGGATCGCCTGAGCCATATTTGCTCTCTTTGAGGCAGCAGGGTGTCTTGAGATTCTCATGAAGCTTTTAGGCTTTAAGCAAAGACAGCCCGAAGCTGGTGCCTAGAGCAAGGCGAAGACCTTTTCAACTCAGACAGCAGAAGTTGAAAGCTCAAGTCCATCAAGTGCTAACCATGAAAAGAATACATCCAAAGCTACTTGTTGCAACAAAATCACCTTTAGGCGCTTTCGCAACTAGCAGTCTTTGAAGCGATAGACTAAACTGACAATGAAAAGGGACACAGTTGAGCTGACACGCATGCCTCAACACCCAATGTCAATATGACCGCAAGCGAAGCCAAGTGCAGGCCTCAGTTCAGTGGATCCCCGATGTATAGTGACTAGTAGTCTATAAGAGCGTTTTCTGTTGACAACGCTTCTCTCAACTAGAATCCAAAAGGGGAGCTCAGTTTAGTTGTTAAAATGAAATCCCAAATAGGATCCATACGTCAAAGTGTCATGTGTGCTAGTCCATGTCGCCATGTGTCCGCATTTTGCATTGAACATCGAGCCCTTGAGCTCTACTTATTCCAACCCAGGACTGACGAGGCTGCATCAGACTCAAAGGTGCTCACGGGAATGTACTCAATCCTTTGTTGCTGTTCATCATTATTGTATATTATCGTCACAGTTATTTTGATGTTTTATATTTTGGCTTGGTTTTCACTGTACAGGTTTGATTGAATGATTGCATGTAATGTATTGATGAGTTTGCTTTGGGAAACTATTCTGGATTTTTGAAAGACGAGGGATCATCTCGAAGGACTACAGTTGTGATAGCATGGCAGCAGAGAACGTGCAACATGCAATCTTTTGCTGACGGAAATAGTTATTATAAGTTACTAGAAGAGTGTTGTCTTTCAGGTGCAGGCAAAGAAGTCGGATGAAAAGCCTCAGGAGACCCGAACAAGAGCAGTTTCAATTCATTCTGCATTGCCATTGAAGAACGATCTAGAATGATGGCACTAGTTGGTTTAGTTGGCAGTTGTTTGTTTTTTAGTGAAGTTATTGCTCTTGTTGATGTTGATGAGAAAGATATGGTGGGTATTGTGATGCAGATGTTGTTTTGTGTTTGGTCTTTGCTGTCAGAAAAAGCACCTTGGAATCGGTTCCCTAGGGTTTGGAGGGCCCCTAACTTTGCCATGGAATAGGCAGGCTCAAGAGTGTTGAATTCATTTCAGCCTCAAGTGTTTGCAGTCTTTTGCCAGGTGTGTATACATACACACAGAGATGTCACCGCGGGAAACCCTCAAGGTTTCCACCTCTAGATTGTGAGCGGTCTGGGTTTCATTGTGAGGATCAGGCGGTGCCAGTAGCACAGAAGTCCTTGAAAGAGCATCCCGGCTAAAGGTTTGCAACATGTTCAATTTTGCTTGTACTCCATACATGCAAGGGCCCAGTTGGACACCTCACCTCTCATTCTGATTATGTCATCGCCGTAATCCTTTGAGATCCCCTAAACACGTGTCAGTTCACGAAGACCATGAGTGATATTTGGCTCGCGCAAATGGTCATGCTGAAAAGGGGAGCTGGATACCTTGAACAACCAAGGTACTTCAGCTGGCGACCTGTGCCATGGTCATTTGCTGCTGTAGTTATTTGTCGAAGCACGGAGAGAGTCTGTTGGACCGAGGACAAGCCATGAGTGTTACATTCTTCCCCCAACAAGATGCCAGACGCCAGGTGGCTTTGTTTCCTTCTTGGAATTTTCCTCCTCACCAAGTTCCAAATTGCGCCTTGGATGACAGAATTAGGTTTGTTTTGGACACTGTTGGAACCAGTTTTGTCAGGTAAGGTGTAGCCTTGCTTTTGTGAACCGAAAGCAACAAGATGCTGCGAGGGCATGACCCTGCGACCAAAGAACCTAGAAATAGTTTCAGCATTTTGGCATCGGACTGCTGTGGCCAGTACTGTAGTCAAGTCATATGGCCAGTCTTTTCGTGCTCCTTTTGGTTCTCCTTTTCCCCTCTCTTTCCAAACCGGTGGGAAATGACTCGCAGGTTTACAATGACTCGCCCTGTGCAGTTCTGGGACTTCAAGGTCCTGTGACTTCGTCGGACTTGAAAAAGGCGACTGTCGCATCGTCGTGGTCCATCGTCATGTGTCGTTTGGTCCGTCGTTGGGCGCTTAAAAAGAAAGAAGGGGTGACCTGCCTGAAAGCATGTCATGACAAGTCGCGCTATTCACGATTCATTTATCAAACCCTTAGCTGTCAGAAAGGTTTCTTAGATTCTACTAGCAGTTACTCTAGCAGTTACTAGCAGTGACAGTCCATAACAGTTCCCCAGGAAGGGTTTCTAGCAGGATTTGGAAGATGACTTCCTAGTAGTGTTCTGCGCTTCTTCCCTTCCTTGCCATTCGCACTGGACGTGTGCTCGTCGAGCTGAACTGTTGCGCAGCTATCATGACAGGCCTTCCGGCAGCTGTCAATGTGCACCCACCCAGACCGACTTCGAGGAAGGCTCAAGCGGCTGCCGAGCCCAGAGGAGGCAGGGAAAGACGGTCAAACCAATCGCCCAACCGCCCGGTTGTTGGGCGCGGCAAATAATAACAACATGTCATGTGTTGCAGGTTGACAGGATTTGACAGGGAGGTCATGTTGTGGTATCTTGGCAACCATGTTGTCTCCTTTGTGCGGTGACTTGGCTTTTTCCATTTTTCGGGCCAAGCTCAGCCCCACAAAGCACGTCCATTGGCTGCCAAAATGGATTCTGCCCTGAAAGCCTCAAAAGCTTTGGCAGAGACTGGACAACTTTCCTGTTTTGAGATCAGGAGGGAAATGCAAAGGTGGCAGCCTGCACTGCACACAACCACCACAAGAGGTCATGATCCTTGGGATGAAACACAACCCTTTTAATGACATTCTAAGGAGGGCGCCGGCCACTTGCCGTGTGATTCTGGGCCCTCAATTTACACTTTTGACTGTAAGTGATTAATTGATAGATGGTACAAGCATGTGCTGTAGTTGTTGGTGACAAATGACTTCTAAATCGCACTGGGCTTATGGTTCATGTGGAGGTGGGGGAAGCCAACAAGAAAGCAACAACGTGCACGGAAGAGCACCCAAGAGTGTGTGTGAATATATGGTTGTCGATCTAAAGGTCCTAGACAGGATTGTTGATGACGATGACCTGGAACACATCAAAATCTCATTTGGCGAAAGTTTTTTCTCGAGTTGGCGAAAGTAGATTTTTTTTGGCAAAAGATATGGCTAAAGACTAAAGATGTTCTTTCTGTTGCTGTTGCTGCTACTACTACTACTGCTCCTACACTCCTGCTGCTGCTGCTACGACTACTACTCCTGCTGCTGCAGCTACTACTACTACTACTACCACTACTGCCACTATTCCTGCTCCTGCTTTGGGGGGGTGGCTTTGCCACAAAACTCTACCCCGCAAAAGGCGAAAGTTTGGCGAAAGTTCAGCTCAAGATTGGCGAAAGTTCACCCTGCCACATCTGACCCCAAGCCCATTATGAGTAAGTCTGAGTGACCGGCTACTACAGTGATTCTTGCAATTTTGATTCTTGCTGACACCCAGGAGAAACAATAGAGACGTACAGGGTGTCAACAGTTAAGTAGAAGACAAATGCTGACAAACAGTGAAGTTTCTTTTTTGTATTGCCAGTAAAGAAGAAACCATTGACGTGAACAAAGCACAACATACATGGCCACATAAATACAACATACTTCGGCGAAAGATAAAACGCAGGAAGGCGAAAGTTTGGCTAAAGTAAACTTTTTTGGCTAAGATGACGGATCCCGGATAAATAAATTTAGATCAACACCCATATATATATATATTCATATATATTTTTACTGAACAAAAATATATTCACATGATATGTATATTGTACGTGTGTAAGGTTTATCTGAGGAGGAAATGGATGGTACGAATTTGCCCTGGAAGTAGACCATAGATCCAATCCACATGATCAAAAACGCAACACCAACAGTAAGTGTGTGCTAGTCATGTATGCACCGTGTGCCCCTACTTAACAGCTCAAGCCCAAGCAACCCTGGGAAACATGATGTTTGAGAGAACCCACATGACATGTTGAACTTGTTGGGAAACATTTCAGACGCTTTCCTCGCTTAGTTTCTTCTCCTGGGGGCATTTGCATTTCGCATGTTTCAGCAGAGTTCCCACCCCGCCCTTCAGTGAGGAATTCAGCGTTTGAACGTGTGATATTCATATATATATATTTATAGTCGCTATTTACTACTAGTAGCAATGCACTTGTTACTAATAGCGATGCATTTGCTACTACTCATTCTTTTGCTGCATAGATGTCCTGCAGAGCGATCGGCCAGTCTCGAAGAGGGGAAATCATTTTCAACCGCGCCTCAGCGGCGAAGGATGAGCTGTTGGATGCCCCAGTCACAATGGGTCGTTTGGAGTTTGTTATGGATATTTTGAATCATCTACATAGCTCAAAATTGTGTCATGTCGAAGGATGTGTTTATTGCACGACGTTTTTTTGGATGCCTGCAGAACCAGTAAGACTGACTGACTGTTTGCGGTGAATGTTGCTTAGAAAAAATGATTGGACCGAAGGAGTACTTGAGTGTGTCGTTTTTTCAA